GTTCAACATGTGGATACCACCAGAATAACAATGACATAGTTCGGGTTCCTACAGCATAGGTTTGGGTCCCTTTGTGTTATTGAAACACCTCACCTTCTCCATGCCTTTGTCTCTCACAAAGATGATAATAAAACCTCCAAATTAGAATTAAACCAGTTAATGGTTGTAGAGCACAGTGAGCTTCTTAGTGAACAATATGCTCACATCAAGTGACAGCAGCAGGATTTTTGCTGATAATTACATTTTCCTTACAGCATTCTTTACCAATTTGTCTGAAACTATTGGCATCAGGAATAAGGCATTCTCCCATTTCTCATTGTATTGCTTCAGTCTTCTTTTGAAGTTTTCTTTACACTTACTGACTTAGTAGGCATTTCATTTTTTTTTTTTTTTTTTTGTTGCTTTTCATCACAGGTGGCTGATGTTTCTGGCTGGTACACTCAGGGTGAAATGTGATCATTAAGTTAATAACCAGTTTAACTACACCAGTCTGCATTTAAATTGAAGTAAAAATACGCATAAGTAGCTTCAGGTTTACCTCTTCAGTCCCTCTCATTATATGTAATAGCTTGATAATTTTATTTCTATATAGTAACTATTTTCATGCCAGTACCTTTTTGTGCATACAGTAATAATGTTTTTGTCGTTGAAAATTATCCTGGAGATTGCAGAGCAGACACAATAGTTCCGTCCTGTTACTGACTGTGACTTATCTCAGTGTTGTCTCCACTTTTACTTTATGAATTTTAGCTCATAAGCAGAAACAGAGCTTAATAATGTTACAAAGACCTAATATCGCCAATCTGTTTTAATTGATGTTTATTATAATTAATATTGAGAGGCAATAAGCAAGCAGCGCTGGGGAGTCTCCGCACGGCCGAGACGCACAAGGGGAACTTCTGGACATAGTCTCTTGTGCTTTTTGGTCTTGGGTTTCAGCCAATCCTGTTGTCTTCTTTTCCCAGGCTTCTTGGGTTTCAGCCAATACTGTTGTCTTCTTTTCCCGGGCTTCTTGGGTTTCAGCCAATACTGTTGTCTTCTTTTCCCAGGCTTCTCCACCTGTTGCTGGGGTCTTGTCTCCGGGTGAAGAAATATCTTAGAAAGGTTACTAAACATCTTGGTAATGCATTAACAGGAAGATGTCCTGTAACAGGACGTATCTCTTAAGTTACCTAGCCCACCCCCCCCCCCCCCCCCCCCCCCCCAAGAACATTCATGCAATTTAAACAATGAATAAAACATTTCTTTGCACAATATTGCGGTTGACCCAGGGGAATTATTCCCTTGTTTCTTCTTCCTCCTTGCTGTGGTATTGACAGGGACACTTATCATACCCTTTGCACATAGCACAATGGTCACAAGGGGTTTCATCTCCACACAATGTGCAGTGATCACTAGGACCCCGGAGTTGCTGACACGAATCACTCTGATGTAACTCACAATAACAATATATGCTAAAAAAAAAAGTTGACTGATGCATGCCTCCTTTAAATAATATTAAACATTTTGCCTTTTTTGCATGAAAAGGTAAGAGACTTCTGTGTGAACCTGTCCAGAATTGTGTCTCAAAGCACTACATGTGTCATTCGTCACTGGGACAGAGCTAGAGCTTTACTCAAAGGCTTAATAATGTTAATATAGTCTTTTCCAAGTGGTTTACATCCCAGGAGCTCAAACTCTTTTATGAAAAATAATTAATTATCCTTCAGCATAGCTTCTGTCAGGTAGGCCAAACAGTTATCCACAGTTATTAGAAGAGAAATTCAGACACAAACAGGTTGGTAATTTGCGGGGATCACAATGGTGAAGGTATAAGGTGGCAATCCTGACCTGTGGCCTCTTCAGAGGCTTGTATTTCCAGAGTGTTCTCACACCTGTGCTCTACTGTTTCAGGACTGCTGGGAACTAGAGTGTTTCAGTTGTGCCTTTTTCCTCAAAACCTTCCTTAAAAATGCATATGCTTCAGAAGGGGCCAGAGTAGGAGGCATACTGTAGCTGCGTTGGGTTTATGAGACCTGTGGACTCACCTATATAAAGGGAATTGGCAGCTGTCAAAGGAGCTCATTTAGTCTTTAGCTTTTAGGATGGGAGGTTTAGAAAAGCTGGAGATGGGATGCAAAAATGCTAACATTTCTTAAAAGTGCACAGGTGAACATGTATAAAATATGGATTGAATTCAGTTCTTTCTCCTGGAAGACCATGCCTATCCCTCTGGAATTGGCTTTTAATCTCTTCTAGCACTCCTGAGTCTCCATACTCAGTTCTCTGTATCCTTGCCTTCAAATTTCTTCCCATTTTAACTGCTTAGTCCGCTTTTTCCTCTCAGAGTTCCCTTAGTCAAGCTTTGGCCAATCCTCCCTCCAGTTTGAGATCTCCATGAGAATTAATCACTTTGCAGTATGCTCACAGCACATGTACTGATAAACTGTGCCACTCCTTATATCTCTATTATTCTAGCTACATCTCTAAGTTTGCAGACAAGTTGTGAACTAATCTCTTACAGTTTCTATATTTATTTCCCTCCACTTCCAGACTTGTGGTGCCTTGATTATATTTTTGATTCTTTTGAAAACATTGCATAATTTTGGATAGCTTTTAAAAATATTTTCTGGTTCAAGCACACGTTGAGTGGGATGTGAAGGAGAATCTGTCACTGTTCTGCAAGAGGTCAGACTAGACTATTGCTTGTCACAGAAATTCTTGTGTTGACTTTAAGCATATATTTAGGATGTAAGGCTTGTTCATGATTCCCCTCCTGAATTACTGAAATCACAGTATGATGGCTGATCTCATCCAAGGGTAACACTGGGGCATTTACAGCTAGAGTTGCAGACTGGAAATAAGACAGTTACTTCCCCCCCCCCCCCCAATTTTCTGAGCTCAAATACTGATTTTAAAATACATATGTACATTTAATATATTTGTGCCTTGTTTTTCTGATTACCACCATTATTGGCTTTAATTCATGGTAGCATCAGAATGACTTCCTTCCTGCTTCATATTTTTGGAAAATAAATTTTCTCCAAAGCCCATTATGCTGCAAGCAGTTAAAATAACTCCAGAACCTCAAAAAGCAACAAGAGGCAAAACTATACTTACAGAATCTTTGTTCTAGTTTCTTTTAACTGATGGCTGATAAACATCTAGTGAATACTGAATTACAATTCTGCCATCTGTTACTGGTAGCACACCATGTTGGGTACTCTGCTATGAAGTTGAAGACATTGCTATGGCTCCTCATTCCCACACACGTAGATAAGTGTGTGAGGGGAAAGGTGGGGGCTGGATACAGTCCCTAAGGCATTTTCAGTTGTGTTCAACCTTCCTCAAACAGATCTAGGATTCAAAGGTTTTTAGGTTCTATTTCAATGTCTAAGTTAGTGACTGGAATTTGAAAAGACCCATGTGTTTTACACTGTGAAGTTAGCCATTGATGACAGCTGGATCAACACTTTTTAGGACATCCAGGCTACACCTCAACTAAATATACCCCAACAAGCACAACGATTTCTAATAGGAAAATCCATCTCCTACAGGCAGCAGTTGTGTGTTCACACACACAAGGTAAGCCTTATTTTACCAACCAGTTTTGCAATTTGAGTTTTAAAAACAGCCACTGAGAAATGGTTGTTCTGTCATGAGAGACATTTCAAAATCTGTCTCACTTTTTTCCTCAAAACACTGTTATCTTGAAAAAAAAAAAAAGGGATTTTTAACATTTCTTTGCTCACCTTCTTAATTACGAAGGAAAGCCAAAACTTACAGACAATATGAGCAGGATAACTTAAAAAAAAAAAGTATATATTTTATATATATTTATAGAATTTATTTTGCTTCCATTCTGGGAGAACAGATCTTTGTGAACTAAGCTCATGCAGAGGCTGTGTTTATTGAGATTTTGTAGTTTCATTCCTACTCCAAGTTTCTGTCAGAAATTCTTCTCAGCTGTTTCTGCTTAGTCTGTCATGAGGGACTTCAGAATTTGTCTCCTCTTAATTAACTGAATAACTTTTTTTTCTGATTTTTTTTTGTCTCCTGTTTTGTGCCTAATCATGCGGAGTATACTTTGACCTCTCTATTTTCTTTTTTAAACCAATCAGCTTAAAGAGGCCTGCTTTGCAGAATATGTCACCATTTGGGTACCAGAACATGCAGGCACTCTGTTTTTTTTGTCTCTAAATTCTTGTTCAATGAAGGCCAAGTATAGGGAACCCTTGGAATAAGGTTTTCCAGAGGCCTAGTTGCCTCTTGCCAAATCCAGCTTCTATAAATAGGTTTCTTCTCCCTTCAATAAGCACAATTCATAACTCTCTTTCTCTGTGGATTAGAAGAGATAATACATCAATAACAGAGAAATAATCATAGAAGGACTCAGGCATTACCAATTGCCAAGTAATTTCTACATAGTGCTATTTGTCTTCTCACTGATTTCAGTGCAGTAGCGAGAAACATTCAGCCTCTCAAAGAATTAGGTCCTATGTCACTTCTCATCACATCCTTGCCCTTTTCTAGTTGGTTTATCTATGAGTCAAGTTGAGAGGGTGGAATGGCATGAAGAGTTCTAAGAATTAAAGATGGGAAACCCTCACCAGTTTACACTGCCTGCACTTGCACCAAAATAGGACTCTAAAGAGTTATAAGTAATGGCTTTGAGTGAGTTTTGTAGCCATCTATGGCTGTTCTTTCAAAGTATGTAGTGATACCAATTAAGGAACTGTAGCTATAATTATGTATTGAGTTGGGATTCCTTAGAGGTACATAGATTCTTACAGGATGAAAGTCATTGGCTTACAGATTCTTTCACTTCAAAATGGTTATATGGAAAGTAAAAAGCAAGACAGTAGAGAAACCACTCAACATAGCATTTAGCTAGAATATTCTTTACTACTTGCATTAATTACCCCATAGTCAGATAGTTCTCTGATTAAATTTACACTCATAAAAGAACCTATTAAGGTAGTTTAACTAGTTTAACCCATTTTCTCTGGTTTCACACACAGGTCAACTTGACATCATTTCAATGGCTGAAACAACAATGATGCCTGAGGAAATTGAGCTCGAGATGGCAAAGATCCAGAGACTTCGGGAAGTCTTAGTCAGAAGAGAATCAGAACTCAGGTTTATGTAAGTATCAATACTTCTGGGAAAACACTATGCAAAATTAATCAAAATAGGAAAGAATACTATTTAGAAGACTTTTATCTGCTTGACATTTTAAAAGGAAGAAAGATAAAGAGCATTCCGGTTAGGTGAACGCTTGCAAAATGCCACTGGGAAATTATTTTTGTAGTTGCAAAGGAAATTACCTTTTTTATTTGGCACCTTTTTTATTCAATATGATTTGCAGAAGACATAAAAGGGATCTATTTCTTACAAAAGGAAACTTTAGCAAAGCACATGTCTACAGAGCATATTTTTATACCTGACGTCAATCTTTATGGAAGGATGTTTGTCTGAAGAAAATATCAACAGGTAGGGGATTTGGAGCTTCCACAGTCTGACCTAATTCAGGCTTTATTCCTCACTTCATTAGTGGTCTTAGATAGTTCATGTCACAAGAGAGCACACTGTGTTCTGGACTAATAGCATTCATGATTTGACATTTGTTAAATGGAAACCATTAAGTTATGAAAACAAAACACATTTTGGTGTATCAAATTAAGTAGCAATACTCCAAGAGGGATTTTGGGATTTTCAAAACTGGCAAAAGGGCCAGACATAGGAGCCTCATTTAAGGTTCATGAGTAGTAATCTAGTTCTGATGATGAAGTCAATAGGGTTTATATTCCTAAATCACTGAATTTAGAAGACCAGGACTTATTAATAAATAGTACATTATTTTGAAGTCCCATCTGTCTGTGAGTACCTGGGGTCAGAAACTAATACCTTTGCTGGCAGGCTAAGAACCTCAGCAGATCTAAAACCTGCTGAACCGAGACCCTTGGCATTAATGAAGTAGTCTGAAAAAAACCTGCTCTCTTCTCTCTTTAAAATACAAAGATAGGACTGATACTTTAATCCTTGCACCTGGAGGTTAATTTCAGTGCCCTGACTTGCACTGCTAGAGATTGAAAGCCTGACCCTCAAACAAGCACAGATATCGGTCTATTATCCCAGAAGACTTCTAGCCCAGAATCACTGCTTAGATACCTTTGGAAATAAGGACAGGTAACAGTGATACTGACCTTTAATAATTCTGTAGTGGTACAAATAAAAGGAAAGGTTTTGTCACACCTGCCCCTGATAGTTGAATACTACTTGGTTATTGGCTTGTACATAGATTTAATCTGTAAGAAGCCTCATCTTTGAACCCTGCACTTTTCTTGATATTTTCTGTATCAAACAAAAGACTGCAGCTGTCCCAGTGAATGAGAGCCATGGTGGACATCTGCTTGTCATTGTTCTGCATGCTCTTCACTTGTTCTGTTTGTTCTTGTATCCAGTCTGTTCTGTTCATTTTCCCCATGCTCACACTCATGACACTCTTTACTGTGTATTGCCTAGCAGGTGTTTGAGGGAGGAATTTAACACAGAGGAGCTTGCTTATTGAAAATGGACTATAACTGACATTTGTACTGTGCAACAGTACTCTTCCTGCATTAGATGTCCAAATAAACTCTGCCTAGAGCTACCTGGGAACACTCCCCAGCAGTTCACTGCCTGCGTGAGGAAAGCTGTTCTGAGCATCACAACCTCCGCTAGGTTTGGCCCTTGTTATTAGCAAAGCAGACAAGTGACAGGCAGCAACTGCCAGAGATGGCCCTACTTGTTTGTCTTTTTTAAGTCATGGAAAGCTAAGCTTGTTGCTGCTGCCCCTGTCTTCAGCAAGAGGAACTGAGATCTGTGCCACTGCCATAGACACTCTAATTCCTTCAGTGCACATGACCAAGTGACTATTTTTCTAGGGATATTCACACAGATTTCTAGTCTGATTGCTCCCTTCTCTGTGGCAGAATATCCTGACACTGCTCATTAATCCTTGAGGGAGTTAAACTCAGTTTGTTAACACCACCGACTGAAATGGTGGTATGGCATCTCTCTCTGCACTGGGACTCCACTTGCAAACCAAGACTGCACTGGTCATGAGTTTTCAAGCTTCCCACCTTTCTAAGCTCATTTACAACAGCCAGGTTCTTCATACCGGCTCATCAAGTGTGAAAGAAAAAGCAGCCTCTCTCACCCAGCAATGGCCTCCAGAATGAGAACATGCTTCCATTAATAGCTTTTAGGAGTCCAATAGGTTGTCTGTTTGACATTATCTCAGTTTTTAAAATGTTTTTACATTTTCTTCCTAACAAGTGAAAAGCATGTTGCTAGCGATGCCCAAGTAATAGAGCAGCACCTGTTCTTTACTGCCTTTCACTCAGGGTAGTTTATGCTGACAGAGGACCTCAATTGCATTTGTCTTCAGTGACAAATGTCTTTTAATGAGCTCTTGCTGAGTTTAACAGCACAGCTCACAGTTACGTCAGTGGTACAAGTTTTGTATCCATTTAAGCAAATTACCTAAACTAATTCATAGGCATATTGTAAAAGACTTTATATGTGGCCATATATTTTTCAGTTGTTTCCTGAAGTAATGCATTGCCAGTGTCTCAAGGCCAGAAGTCTATATGTAGGTCATGAATTTTAGTAATTGTTTTCTTCTGACAGAATTAGATCCTCCTATGAATGACCTATACAACCAACAGCATGAAACTGAGCCACCTCAGACAGGCTGAAGAAAAACTCAACTTTGAACATGTAGCTGCTAACTAGCAGTACTCCTATGCTCAGACCACTGAGTTCAAAACCAGCTTTAATGAGAGGCAGATCTCTTTAGGTCTTGCACCTGCTTTAGCTTGTCATTCAACTGTAACAAAAGGATAAAACATACATACAGTAGTGGAGAAAATGTGTATGTTTCTATTCTTTTTTTTTCCCCTCATGCTGTTAGCAACAGAGTAGGAATTCTCTTGAGTTAAATTTGACTTCTTTTAGTTCTTATAAAGGCATAAATATGATGAAATAATTCCCTATCATTTACACATTCAGCCACAGCTTACATTTCTAGCTATGATTTTTGAAAGTAGTGGTTCATTCTTCTCACTGTCTCTCTGTATGACTTTTTTATTTATACACATGTAGCCAGACCCTGAAGCTAGGATCTGGCTACTTTGTACATTGTAGCTGTGCTTTAAAAAACAAAACCCTAAAACTAAAAATAGGGGAAATAAGCTGTAGGGCTTGTTCTCGAGTGTATCACTAGTCCTCATGGTGACCAGGACTTCCTCCTGTTGGAGGCATACAGTCTGTCAGCTTTACTTACACAAACCAGCAACTACCACAACTCTTCACAGCACAGACACCCTGTTTTAACAATATTCACGCTTAAGAATAAGAAAAAAACCCACACTGCAAGCTAGACCTGTTGCTGATAAAATCAGAGCAGACTCTTTCCCTGTCTGAGCAATGCAGGTTTAATCTATAAAAGGAGCTTGCTCTAAACCTGCAAACTTGAAATTACTGTTTTCCTTTAAGAAGACACACAAAGAAGATAGAGATGGGATAATAATAAAAGACACCCTTACTGATGTTTGGAACGGCTCTGTAACAAAATCTGTTGTCTTACATGTTATGGCAACGTTTTGCTGAAACAAATGCAGTAGTCAGAAAATAAGGGCATTTGGCAGAGAACTGCTCTAGGTTAGTGTATTAGCCAGAACAAACGCCCCCCAAACCAACCAGAACACACCTGCCCCCACAAAACAACCAACAAAAACCTAGCAAGGATTGGATGCTGAGCAGACCTGAAGTTGGTTTGCATTTTTCACACTTCTGTGCATGAACCAGTAAAAACTTACCCTGCTAAGATGTGACATCATTGATAATGTAATAGTCTTTCAGGCAGTTCCTCCGTTGTGTTCTGTATGGCATGTGTGTCTCTGCAAGCAGCATGAACTTTACATGAGAGAGTCTTTAGGAAAGCATACAGACAGCTTTCCTTGCTTTGAAAGTTCAGGTATCAAGGGTATTTTTTTTTACTATAATAATACTATGAGGCCCACATTCTCTCCCCACTGAGCAAAGTAACACCAATGACTAATGAAGGCTATAATTTAACAAATAGGATAAAATGAAGTGTGTTACCCCTACATCCTTACTCAAATCTTACATTACAGTACTCACAGTTGGTAACACTTCAGTATTTAAATAAAATCTTTACTTAACAGTTCATCATCACTAAAAGCTTTAGAAGAGTCATCCTGTAGGGGTGAAAGAATGAGTGGGACGATGAAGAGACAGAAGTGAGATACTTAATCATCATTGTTTCAAAGCAAGCCTTAAAGTATTTGAGAATCAAGGATTAAACAAAAAAATAAAATTATTTAATAGTATTAGACTTAAGAAGTGGTATAGAATACTGTTTAAAACCCATACAAAACTATATATGGGGTTTTCCTCATGCATATTCAAGCAAGCTCAGTCTCTCATGTTGTAGCCTCTATCTATCAATCATGCTATTAGTTCAACAAATCCAGATTTTCAGTTCTCAGAATTTAAGTGAGGAAAATTTCAATTATATTTAAACAAATTTCACATACATTTCTATGACTGAGTTAAAATATCAAAGCTCGTTTTTTCAGTTTACGACTTTCCCTCCACCTCTTTGCAACAGTCACAGTGTGAATAATCAAGCTGCTCTGTGCTGTACTGGATATTGAAATTACTCACGATCTTCAGTCTGTGTAATCATCAGAAAGGTTAATGTTCCCGGGAAGGAATTTTCCACATTTAGAAAGAGACCTGGACAGTCAGTCAGGAACAGTAACTCACATATGATACTGAATTCAGTCACCAGATGATACTGAAGTCACTCACCTGCCTGTGGGTTTATGCTTCTGGTTAAAAAAAGTCCTTCGTAGAGGCCCTTCCACTGCAGAGCCATGCCTGCAGTGCTAATTGCTTGCCCTCACAGGTAAAATGAGCTCTGTGGCTGCATGAGGCAGAATGGCTGCCATTTTGTGGCAGCTCAACCATGCTGTACAAAATGGCCACCCTGTCTGCCGGGCCTGTGCTGTGGCTGTTCCTCTGATACCCACCTTGCTCTTGAAACAGCTCCGAGGAGCTTTTTTCCTTCCTTA